TTTTTTTTTAAATTTGTTTTTTCCTCCATTGATTTTTCGATTGGTAATCGCGAGTAACTATAACATAACATCCGTCCGTTACGGTACTGAACGACAGCGCGCGAGTCCGGTTCGCGGGTTTTCCGTCGAGACGTGCGTGATCGTCGTGTGTGCCGTGACGGTTGTCGTCGTAATATTATAAAATATATTACAGCGACGTCCGTAAAGGTTTTGGAAAAAAGAGATCTGACCCGCCGCCGTCGGCTTAAGGATTTCATCTCGAAAACGTTCGACCGCCGACTTCCGGACATGTCCTGCAGGACAACGTGATCATCTTCTATCCTGGGTCGTAAACGTCCGCTGCTTCCGGTCCGACACGCAACATATAAATCTGCCGCCACCGCCAACCCATAAAACGCCGCTGAAACACAAAGGTAAGACTACATCGGTATTTTTATATATTATTATAATATTTTATATTGTTTTTACCACCGTCCAGTAAATATGTATATACATCACAATACTAGTATTATTATACACATATTATATAGGTAGGTAAACGATATGTTTGTATTATTATATTATCATCTATCGAAATTGAGGATAAAAAATAATATACCAGTCAGCTGGGAAAGCTAATTAGTTAAGGACGATTTCATTATTTACGTGTTCATGATAGTTGTGTAGATACATTATATAATATCGATGTGCCGCCAAATAATATTTAACGGCGTAAGTGCATATAAGCAGACGCTATTAAAAATAATTACCTACGTGAATATTACGACGAGTGATGATCGTAGGACTGTAGGAGTGTATACAGTGTTAATAATCATTTGTAATTATTTTCAAGGTATCAAATTCTCATACTTTTTTTATCATAAAGTGTTTAAAAGACAATCTAATTTTGGCGCGAACTCAAGCCAATTTTACATGAGTGAAATTCCAAGTGCAATATATTATGACATTTGTTCGTCAACAAAATTATTTAGGTACCGAGTATACCTATATTGTTATTATTATTATAATACATCGTTTTGTTACGGTTTTCTTGTTGTTTACTTGTATTCTGTAGTTATTATTCTGAGTTTTTGAGGAATCTGATAATATTCGATACCAGTTTACATGAATTCTTTCCGATGGCATAGTAATTTTGTATATGTTTATATTTTTAAACAAAGGATTCAAACCTTAATTGAAGAGCCTAAAGAAACTGTAATATTTGTAATTTCTAAATTTAATTGATACCTAAAAAAAAGTATTTATACTTAAAATGTAGTTTTGTTAATAAATTTCTGATAAGCACTTATTTTATTGGTGATCAAGATTATATATATATATATATATATAAAACTTTAATTTAAAAAARTAAATAGAAGACATGCAATCAATCGCCTTAAAGGCAATGAAATATTTTATATTACGTCTTGTAAAAAAGTTTAAATTTTTTTTAAATTATTAAAACGTGAGTTTCAATTATTTAATAAAAAATAATATTATTTAAAGGTAAATTTCAAATGCGTGTATTTAATTAATTATTGTTACCTAGCTATGTTATTTTTATAAAATTCTAAGTCAACTTCTTATCAAATATTGTTTGCAATAATTTCAAAATTATATTTAAAATTACATGATTTTATTTTATTTGATGGTCAGCTCTTTAATTGTCAGTTAAGAATAGTATGTATAATGCTTGTAAATATTATAGAATAATATAACATTAAACTCAAACGTCGACTGAAAATACTATGCTGCTAATTGTAAATACTATCTATAGATATAGATAGCCTACTGTTGGCTAGGAATGTCTTATAAAAAAAAAAAAATTGTAGTATAGTATTATAACCATTAAATCAGAATAATGTATATTTAATAATAATAATTCATTGACAAAAATGTGAAATATATTATACATTCATACTGCCACAATGTAACGATTGATATTTAATAGCATGGATATTTTTACTTAATATTTTACTGTCTTATAAAGTATATTTACATATTTTGTTATATGTTTTAATGATATGGGCATACGGCATTAAGAATAAACAATAATTTAATAGGATATTGTCGCATAAAAATTTAATAAACATTTCATATAGTTATAAAATATTTTTTTCATATAAGTTAATAATTTGTAGCATCTTCGATCTTYACTATCATATCAAATATGTAACATATTTCGTATGTTATGTTTTACTTTAGGTCGGTATTGTACCTACCTTTATCTTACAAATTATATATTTAGTTTTTGCCGTTGGAAAAATAACGAAAACATTATGTATTCGACGACTAAAATTCATAATTTAGCATACTATAGACGAGTATTACATAAACTTATGATAAAAAAATGCATATTAGGATGCAACTGAACTGTATACAATTATATGTTGAACAATGGTTATTATTACTTTTATTCTTATTTGTTGCACAAAATAAATGTATAGGTACATCAGCAAACATATTATTAGTTAATCCTTTTTGTTAATATTTTACAATAACCAATATAATACCATGCACTCACGTGTTATGAATCTTTTTTATTTTACATTTATATTTGAATAATCAACAATATATCATAAGAAAATATTGTTGACAGCTGTAGACCAACTGTCTGAATTTTTAGTTAAGAGGAAAATTTAAAATGTATTGGACCTTCGGGATTTAGATTTTACGTTCACGACTTTTGTTTAGGATAGCAGTACATATCATAGGTACATAATATTTCAAATTTTTAATTATATTTTCTGTTTGAAAGTGAATTCAATTTTTTTTTTATTAATTACATTTATTCTTCTTATTTTTTTTCCACGAAAGCCRTTTTAAAGTTTTTGAGTTGTATTATTTATTAGAATAATTAAATTACCTAATCGAAAATAAATTTATTTGTTGTTTTGGCTGTAATTTTCCGTCTATTTAGCGAATGAAGCTATTTTCGAAAATATTGCAATATTTTCTTAAACTAAACTCTGTAGAATCGTCAAAGTAATTGTACAGTTTACATGGTTTGAATTTCTTCAGAGAGCGCCAAGTGAAATTGTTTGTGTCGCCTAATTAATCATCGCTGGAAATGAATCACTTGGCATTTATTATTTGTTTAAATATTCTGTTTTGTATCAAAAATAAAAAATATAGTTGGTCTTATTTTTTTTTCCTATATGTATCTGTAAACATTGAAATTGAAATATATGTGTTTTTCTAATCGTTTTTATCTTATATTTGTTAAAGATATTTCTTCACAATTTCTTAGACTATTTTTATGCCTTAAGCAATAGGTAAATTTGTAAGTAGTTAATATTTTAATATTATTGAACTCATTTTATTAATGAAATTATTTTCTTCAGCTTATGCTAATTTGAATATATTTAGCATTTGAAAAACCAATAAAATTATTGCAAAGTATTATTACTGTAAAAATAATTTTTTCATTAAATATTATAAATTAGGTACCTAACTTATATTTATAATAGTTCATATTTACAAATTTATAAATATTTATTTGTATAAGTTATGTGATATTAATTATTTTAATTTTTAATCAATTTCATATTGTGCACTTTTATATAAAAAAGACACGTACTTGATGGTGCCTTAGTATCAACATTTTTCATACCTTCACTCAATCTTTACCTATTTTATATCGTATTATGTGACATCGTTATGTACATAATTTAAGTAACTTTGTGGAGATTTCATTATTCATATGACATATTATAGATTATAAACTATTAGGAAACAGAGTCTTTAGAAGTTTTTAGACTTTTCCTCGCTAATAATCTAACTTTTCCACCCCTATATCTAATAAAAGACTTTTGAAAATAAGATATGATCCGTCTAAAATGTCTAAATGATCAGTACTTCAATATTGTGGCCTGGGCTTAAAATTTATACAAGCAATATTGTTATTTGAAAACTCATACTATTTAAGTACCTATAACTTAAAATACAACTTCAACTTTATAAATGGTCATGGCGTTCAAATAAGAAAAAAATATGATTTTATAATGACTAATGACAATTACATTTATATTTAATGATTTCTAAGAATTATTTTGTGAAGTTTTATTACAGGTGAGTATAGGGTAGCTCACATAGGAATCACGAAAATTGAATATTAAAGAGACTATTACCTTATAATCTCTCTTTCTCTATAATTATCTCTACTTATACATTAATGTATATATCGTATACCTTGAGTTGTAACTTATATTATAATCAAAAACTACAACAGCGATTTTGATTAAATTTTCAGAGATTTTTCTTAGGGGTATCAGAAAAGTGTAGAGTAGTTCTAACCACGTTAGAAAATATATCAAAGTGCGTATTCAATCCCTCACAGACTGTTTTCCATCTCGGTCGAATTAGTTCACAAAGCGAAGTTACTGACATATATTTGCCCTCGAACTGAAGTACCTACGCTAAAACCTATATACAATGCTTTATTTTATATTTGTTCATTTTTTTCCGGCCAAAGTTGATACAAAATACAGATGATATTATGTTAAAATAATACTAAACTTAATAACTCAAAACATATTTTGAGCATTCCATATATTCATTATTGTATATTTATCATTTTTACTATACTTAATCATGGCATTTAATATATAGTAATGTTATTGATAATGTGTTTAGTGTTATTTATTAGTTTCACATATATTTATATAACTTTATTTTATTTTTCTACTCTTAAATACATATTATGAGTAATTCATAATTTAATAGCTTACCATCGATGAATGTTATAGTACCTAATATAGATAATAGTTATCAGGTTATGTTATGAATGTTCATTTTTTTACGCATGGATTATGGAATCATCTAATAAAATATTGCTACATTATTTTGTAAACGGTTTTTTTCTTATAACGCTTCAAATTTTGTAACCATATTACATTTACCATATTATATTTTGTTTTCAGCATTGCCGGGTCAGCTAGTATATTAAATATTTTATTTATTTATTTTTTTTTTTATTGAACTTAAAAACACCAACAGCATATTATATATTATATAAAAATAAACAGACCAAATTATTGTGAATATGAATATTTGGTAACCAGGACTCTTGATCAAAATTTCTATCACCTACTTGCCTATCGTGTTATTTAAAACTCTGATTATCTAAATGGAATTTACTCTTTACAAATTTTGGTCAATTTTTTAAACGATTTTACTTTATTAAATTTATTTAAATATTTTTAAATCGATTCAGTTAATAACTGMAACATATTATGGTTGCTTAATTAGACTACTAGAACTAGAGGTTGTACAGATATATAATTGAATATTATGCATAGCAATAAAACACTGACAAATTGAAGTGAATCCATTTTCAATGACTACTTCTTAGTAAATTTTAATTTTAATAAATATTAACTGAGATTTATGTAAATCCGGAATTCAATATTCTTAAAAGAAACTTTAGTGTATA